CTTCACACTAAACTCACCTCTCCACTATCAGCTCTAATATTCAAGTCTCCTCTCAGGCTGTCCTGGTTCGGGCTGGAATAGAGTTCCTCTTCGTTTTAGTAGCTGCAGGAGTGCTGCAGCACCCTGAGACCCCAGGGGCTCCCCATGTCCGAGTGCCCTCACCTGTGTGCGGGGGTGGGGGGAGCACAGCTGGAGTGCTGGGCCCGGATTGGCTGATATCCCATGTCATGTGACATTGTGCTCACTATATAAAGGCAGGAGAGGGCTGGGAGAGGCTGCCACTTTTGGGAGTGTTGCTGTTGTGGCTTTGTGTTTGGAATCACTGGCTGGGAGCAGGCAACACCAGTCTTCCTTCCTCATAAACTTGTCATATGAGTATTTTGTCCTGTCTTTACAGATGCATTCCATTTAAAACATATTTTAATAAGAAAGGTTGATTTAGCAAACTTTCAAATATTGATCTATGCTGCTTTGTTTTTATCTCTTCCTTGCACTCAGTTCTTTATCAGTTTCGAGGTAGATCTTAAAATGCAGCATCCAATTAAGTGGTATTTCAAGTTTCTGAAATTAATTAGGAACCATTCTCCTTTCCTTCCTACTTACACACATAAATTCCCCAAGGTTAAGAAACGGGAGTGGGATAAAATAGTACAAATAAACTTTTATAACTGAGCAACTTTTATATACATATCTACAATATGTTGCATCACAATGCCACAGAATCTCAGAGAACTGAGGTGGAAGGGACCTCAGGAGGTCACTTAGTCTGCCTCTCTGCCCCAAGGCAAGATCAACTATATTGAAACCGTTGTTGACAGATGTTTGTATAACCTGAACTTAAAAAATTTCCAGTGATGGAAATTCCACAGCTTCCTTAGGCAATCTACAAAAATACTGTTACAAATTGCACCTACTATTCAATGTAGCAGAAAGTTCTTCCTGACAGTTGTCTGCAAGATTAAGTCTTTGTCAGTTCTAATACACAATATGGCACTCTTGAGTTCATAGAGATAATAACAATGCACACATCTCTGTAACTAGGTGTACAAAATGTATGTTAGTTTTCAGTTTTATAAAAATAAATTATGCATAACTGATGATGAGTGCTCTTAAATTAGTAAGTTACAGAGGACTTTGTAATTAAACAACGTACAAATACACTGCGTTCTCCAATACAGTTAAATAACTTTATGTATCTTACTGTCATATTATCTTTATACAAAAGGACTGAGATGCTTCTATGTACGCATCTATATGTATATACACATCCCCTATGGGTGAACTATGGTTTATTACAATTTTATAATGCAAAGCATTCCCAAGGGGCCCAGGTCCATTGAAGGCAAAGGATCTAATGATAACGAAATCAGCACCTTCACAAATGAGGATTCTACGGTCAAGCCAATCAGCTCTTGACACTTGTCTGCACTCTGACTCACACTGAAGGGTCAATATAACAGTTTATTCACAAGCATGATTTGGAAATCCTAGTTGCTTGTGATTAGGATGTAGAATTAATTCTCTGCTAACAACATAACAAACAGCAGAATTTTACTTGCAAAGGCACCAGCTCTTTCCAGAATTTAATACAGATTAACTAAGGTTTCTAACTTTTTTTCTTCCTGCTTTATGAGAATAAGTTTCCTACATAAATTAAAATTTTCATGGTGGTAGAGAGAAAAAGATCTTGCTGTTATGGGAAAAGGACTGCTTTAAGGCTTTAGTCCTGATATCTAGAAGAAAAAGGTACCAAAATTAGGTCAAAAACTATTTTGAAAGTGGAAAAATTAACAACCTCTTTTTTGTTTTCATATCCTCTAAAAAAAATATTTTAATATGCCAAGTTATATATTGACAACTCTCTACCAATAAGTGCATGTGGGCTTTTTCAAATACCTGGAACATTACCTATAGATTTTTGCAGGTTCACAAACCCTGTGCCCACTTTTCCAGTAAAAGCTGCTGTCCAATGTACAAAGCTAAATGCCCCAGGGACATTGAAATGAACATATTTTTCTGCTGTTTTAAACACACCAGCAGTCATTTGTAGAGTTTACATGGCTTTCTTGTCAATACCTGCTGGTCACAGTTGGTGAAGAAGCAGTTTCTCTTATGATCTGCTTGCTAATTAAGCATGGCAGTAGCCATTCAGAGCAAAATTTTCAACAACCTGACACACGAAAGTAAAGAATTGGATGTATTCTCAGAAGGCTTCGATCTTTAAATCATTTGGATTCCATAGTTACTGCAATTTACAGAAAATATGCCAGATTAACATGTGACTTTTCTGATAAAGTATAACATACTGTATGTAGGATGGATGCTTTAACTCTAATGATCCACAACATAATTCTTTAAAAGGAGAAAAGTTAAAAGGATTTGAAACTCACAACATAGGCCAAAAATCTTCACTGTCTTCTGCTTCTCATTTTCTTCAGTGATTCATAATCTACTCCTGTCTACTGCCATCTTTCATTTATCATCATCCAACTGTACCTTATTTTTGTTGTCCATTCCTTTACTTGGAGGAGGATTGCAGAGATTTCTCTCATGGTGCTTTTCTGCACAGAAAACATCCTAGAAAGTATCAGCAAAGCTACTTCATTGCCTTATTTTAAATTCTTTGCTTTCTTGGCCTTCAAAAGCCAGTTGCTCCTTTGCTGAATGACCACCTTCTAACATTTCATTGTTTCCTCATATTACTCCTCCTTCTCGGTTTGTATTCAATTGTTTTCTTTTAGTTCATGCTTAGATTATAAACTCTTGTAGGCAAAAGTTGTGGCATTTGTACAGTCCCACCCAGTGGTCCCAGCCTTGAATTCGGAGACACATTGTAATACAGTAAATAAAAAGCCCTATTCATTTTCCTCCAACAGTTAAGATTTCACTATTTTGTTAGGCCTCTTGTACGCAGGGAGGACAAACCTGGAGTGGCCAGTAACTAATTCTTACTACTAATTAAGAACAGGCTGTTTAATCTGAGTAGGCAATGAAATAGAATACATCAGTAAAAGTGAATCTTTTTTGAGAGAAATCTTTAGTTGGCAAAGGCATTAGTAGAACTACCAGAGGTGACTGAAACGCCTCTTCCCACTCAGGGCAAAAACTCACTCTACAAGAAACAGCATCACATCCAAGCATATTTTTGATCATTTACAAGTCATCCCCAAATTCTTTAAATAAAATACAGTAAACATTTATTTATATCTAATTTGTAGTTGCAAATTTTAAGTTCTTGTTCACCTATGCCTTATAGTTATCTTCTCCTCTAAAAATGGACATTTGACATAATAGTAAAAAAACTTACTTTTTCCAATTTTGGATAAGAAATATAGCAATAAAATATAATTTTTAAAATATCATAAGGACAAGAATGCACTAGAAGATTCTGATTGTAAAGGCAACTGGCATTAAAAAGCTTAGAAAGTCTAGTAATTTAAAAATCTGAAAAGTGGAAGACGTGTCCACACTTCTGGTAATAGAGATTAGACCTAAAACAGTAAGCTTCTACTCACTACTGAATTACCTTATCTACCTTACTAAGGTAGTAGAAGGATCCACAGCTGCTATTGCCAACAATGGGTCATGTTCCAAAAGGAGAGTGTTACTGGGTAACAAGTCAATGCACACAGAGAAGACCTCAAGCCACCACAGCAGACTGTTTTTAAGAAGTAACTGTGATGAACTTCTCACTATAAATAGTCTTGATTTTTAGTTTGGCTATATCAGGTGGTAAGGTAGCTCTCCTGCCCAGACACTGTCTACTGCTATTAATGTCTACTCTGCTCAGCATAAGTTCTAGAATATACTTCTGCTGGAAAAAAGATCTGATAGTATTATTGTAAACCTGCTTTCAAAGAAAATACTTTTAAAACTACATAGACTTTATTTTAAAGCCTAATTTTTTTTTTTTTTTCCATGACTGGTAAACTAAAGACCCCATGGACAAATAATAGAAAAAAAAAAAACAAGAAAAAAAAAATTAAAGACTATTCTTTCCCTCATCTTTGGCCATTATTTTTTTTAGCTCCTTAATAGTAAATGAGGTTGATCTACTAAGATGTCTGGAGAGAATACATGGTAAAGTTAAATAAAGAATCAAAACCCAGTCACAGTGAAAAATACATTAAAAAAAAATTCTACCAAAACTTTTAAATTAAAGTCTTCTTAAGAGTTAGAAAGCCTTTAAATCTCAATTTGATGAAGCTGTACTGAAAGAGAGCTCCCCCTGGTTCTGATAATTTTCTTTCACTTGTCCACTAAAAACTGTTTTGGTTTGTCGGTTTGTTTGCTTTTTTAATAACTTGTCACTTCATTGTGTTTTTAATGACTTGTCACTTCATTGTTTATTCTTTGAAATGCACCTCTTGACTGAGATTTTGCCTGCAACTATAAGAAAATATTTTCTGCTGTGGAATACTTGCAGCATGCTGCCAGTAATCACCCGTGATGATAGTCAACCTTCAAGTTTTCACCTGCTTGCAATTAAAATGGCTTGAAACATCCACAGACAAGTTTCCTTGCTACTTCTTTTCCTCAAATATTTGCCACCACATGAGCAGAGAAACAAATGTTGTGGTAGGTAAGGAGACCCAGAAATTGACTTTTAAGATTAAAGAAATGAAATTCAAATAAACTGTCAGAGGGTAAATGGTCCTTTAAGAGGCTTACTTGAGGAGAACTACTTTTCGGAACCTGTCTGATACAAGTTAGTGTTAGAAGCCTGATACTCAACTCCATGAAACTCCTTCCTCTCTGTTCAAATCAGACTCTTATTAAACCCACTGAATAACATAGTAAAAGTGATAGCTTAAAGAAATCTCTGGGACTTTCCTTACCCTGTAGCCCAGCTCTCAGAAATCAGGAGAATTTTATCTGGCTGGATGAAAACAGGAAAGGCCATGGTCCCTTTTAAGACAGTTATCATTCATCTCCCCTTCTTGGAATTCTTGGGATTCCACAGCAATTATCAAGAGATGAAACTGAAGAAAATCTATTACCTCCATGCATTTAAGACAGTGAGTCTCTCTTCCAGGACACATGAGAGGGAAGGAGCAACCTGCACAACAAAAGCAAAGTGGTATCAGCTTCAGTCCCCTCATGTTTAAAGCACTGTCTGCACTGTTTGAATAGTAGCAAGACTGCCACTAAGCCCTTATCAACTTGCAATATTTATATTTGTATTTTTAATACACATTTGTAATAAATGGTAAATGGTAGAGGTTGACTAACAGTTGCATCACAAGAATTTCTAGTATAATGTGATTTTTTGGTTGATTATAAAGCTGGTACATATAGGACATATAGAACATCATGTTACATGTGGTCAGTTAATTAGTTTCTGAAGTAATGCATGATTAATCACCATCAAATATAATGAAAAATTGTAACTATGCCATTTGCTCTCCAAGAAGTATTTATCTAACTTTATGCCACAGTTTTGGCTTCCTGTGATTGCTTCTTAAATTAGAATACTTTGCTGATTGTAACTGCTGTCCTCTGTGAAATATATGTTGAAACAGGTAAACATAAAATGACACAAAAATAAAAAATGGAAGAAACTCATTTCCATAAACCAAAGTATTCTGGCTGCATGCTGCTGAAATGTCTAAAGATCCACCTAAGCTATACCATAGACAAAAGTAAGATAGGAAATGTTAGACCAGGCAGTGCTGTGAAACAATAGCCTCACACATGAAATCATATATCAGAGACTCAAGAAAAAAAAGCCTTTGAGCTCTTTGCAACACCAACTGCCACTTATTAAGTATCAATATATTAGTAACCATGTTTTTAAAACATATTTCAATAAAAAAGGTCACAAGAAAGCCAGCAGTTAAACTTTTTTTTTTCCCCCCTATTTGAGACTGTTGTACCAAGGGATATTATCCCTGTGCAAAAATCCAACACTTTTTATTGAGGATGTAGAAGCACCCAGTGTTTTGCATAAAGCTGGTTTTGCCCTGAGTAAGAACTTTCTGACTTAAAACTAAATTAAAAAGAACAGATGGTTGCAGGAAAAATAGATTTTTTAAAACAAACAAGCTAACCCACAAACAGATATCAAAGCATCACCTTCTCTTTCCCTGAATTTTCCCTGAAAAAAGTAGAACATGAAGCTTTAAGAAGTTATCTAATTTACATAAGATTCAATCCAAAAAATAACATACAAAACACTTCTTTATAAAGAAGTGCCAGATGCTCAACATGGACACTGCTCAATGGTCACTATAGGTGTTCTCAATTATTTGGGAACTGAATATAATTAATCTGAAAAATTTTTTACTGGAAGTTATTATTTAACATAGAATTCATCAAACACAGTTTGGTTGTAAGTCTTGCGTTGCTCTCTACATGGTATTGATGGTATTTACCTATGGAACATACCCAGAGCATTTCCAAAAAAAATTAAAAGAAAAAAAAATACTGCTAGGTAAAAAACAAGAAGTATTAATAATGTGCATAAGAGCAAGTGCATTTAAAAAAATATATAAATTCCTCACAGTCATTCAAGAGTTGTTTTTGTATAGTTCTCAGACAGCATTATCTCTGGAGAGAGCATGGGATTACACTTCTAGTGTACATCTGGGCTTGTTAAAAACAGACATCTTCTACTAGCATAAAATACAGTTTATAAACAAAACAGCCCTCTAAGAGCTAATGTAAGAGCTACAATCACAGCAACATTAGCAGATATACATGAAGCTGCCATGTATGCTCACATCAAGCTGCGAAGTGCAGCAGCTTCACTGCATCCCACACTAGAGCTAATACACATGTGTGAACTCATTAGTACTTGCACAGGAAGTCATCTCCCTCGGGGAAGCAAACTGTATTTACATATTTATAATTTATATAAATGCTTAATGACTTCCGTGGCCTATGTTCAGACACAGGGATTTACTCAATTTGACCTCAGTCCAGGATGAGATGAAGTATACCTATCCATGGAGAGTGTGAATATTTCCCATGAAAACTGACACATTTGTGAATATAGCATGGAAAAGTCAAATGTCAAGACATCTGAGCAAACAGATAAGCTTAAGAAAAGAAGTAAATTCAATTGTGAAGCTAAGTCTGGCTTGAATCGTTTATTTGTATCTAAATGTGTACAGGTTCTTTTCTGTAGTTTAATAATGAGTTGTTTCATATGCATGTCTGATTATGAAGGTTATGCTTAGTATTCTGCAATAAAACAAAATTTTAATTAAGTTATAAGAATATCAATTTCATTCTAGTCTTTGATGCTCTTTGAAACAATTATAAAGCAGCAAGAATTTAAGAAAACAACTGTTATATTATTTAATCAGAGATCAAAGTTATGAGAAGTGGTTAAAGCATCAGAAGTTTCTCAGAACAGCTGAAAAACCTTTACATCTGACTAATTAAAAGCACAGTAATCTATAATTCTAACAATGTACAATATGCATAATTCCAGTAATAATAACTATAGCATGTAATTTATTCTGACATCTTCAGGGCTTCAAAAGAACAAACCAGTTACAGGTGTGAATTATGATGCTATTAAAATATTAAAAATATTGACTCATGTTACTTTATAGAATCTATAATAACTATCTTAAGAGCTCTGTTGTGCCACAGCAGTATCTGTACAGGTCACCATAGATGAGACGGAGCTGAAAGAAAAAAAAAAAACTTGAAGGTTGGGATGGAAGAATGTGCAATTAAAGCTTACTTGGTATCACTAAATGTCTAAAATATGTAATCTTCTAGCTAGCCCTACAGTGAGCCATTGCAAAATACTTGTCTGTAGTAAAAGTGATATATTCATCAAGCTTCATCATATATATTTTAATTTGAAAGTTGGTAAGTGAAGGTGTATATATAAATATAAGATTATTCAGGAGTATCTAGAGTGTAGCCTTGTTTACTGAAACAGTATGCACTGTTCTTTACCACTGCTGATAAGACTAAATCAATTTAGCAGTAAAATTTCTATTCAAAATTACTTACTTCCCTGAAGATATAAATTGTTGCCTTTGTGTATGTATCATATTTCAAAATAGATCACTAAGTGAAGCAGCTCAGAATACTCTGATGTGTTTGTAACACCTTTAATGTAGCTCATTCTTCTGAACAGGTTAAGGAAGAAAAAGCAAAATTTCAAAAACTTCACATAGTTTTTAATTTATATTTATCAGACACGAAAAAGAGCCTAACCACATTACATTTAGGCTACAAAAGGTGCATAACAGGTAGTTTATATATTTATTTACTTGTAAAACTGGTAGGGATCATTGTCTGTCACAATTACAGCCACGGCACTTTATTCCTGACTGGACTTTACCAGTGTCTCTGTAAGCCCACAGCGTGGACTGTGGGACTCATTGTTATAAAACTGATGAATCTCAATGTGCCATGTCAGTTTTAAGCACCACCAACTGCTCAAGCACATAAACATCAGCAACTAGCAGGTGCTTTGTAATACTGTAAGCTATACTTCATATCTGTACCCTACACTGTTCTTCCTGATTTTAATTTTAAGAAATGCATTTTCAGTTTCATTGCTGTTACCAATTAGTATATGCTAAAAAGGTGCTTCCTGAAGCCATAACCAGTGTCCCAAAAGGATAATCTGAGGAAAAGAGGGACAAACTAAGAACAAGTCAATATAAAATGTAAACAAATATTTTTTACAATCTATATGAAACAGAAGACAACCCAGTAAAATTTTGCAGTGTCAGCAGGAAGCAGCATATGTCAGTAATATTATTTTATATGCATAATTTGCTTCAATTTTTCTAAAAACAAATCCTATAATTTAAAAATAAAATTATGACATCTGGAGAGGGTTTAAATGTGTTGGTTTTAAAGTGACAGATGAGATAGAAGTAAAGCATTCTTTAGAACAGAGTTGCAGGTATAATAATAATAGATCAGGATGGTAGGTGACAGGGAAAACTGTGAATTAATGATTTTTTTAACTCAGAAAATTTTTTTGGTGGTTTCTGAAAATATTTTTACAAAACGAAATTGAAAGAAATATGTGAATAGTACTTCTATGAGAGCAGCTTTGGGGTTGAAGACAGTATCTTCTTCCTCCCTCTTTGAAGAAACAATTAGAATAATAACATTTCAAAAAAATATTTTAGAAACCCAAAAATTCAAGTTTAGGTTAAGGATATTTCCTCAAGATCATCTACCTCTATATATACCTGTCTCTAAACCTGAGCACGTTGATCTGCATTTGCAGTTAATTTTCTGGGAAATACATCAAAACCAAAAAGCCTGAATTAAACCTCATTTACAATCAATGCCCAGGATATAAAAGCTTTAAAACTTAATAAGTGAAATGATCAGCAAGTGATTTCTTAGCAAAACCTATCAATATAGCACCTTACCTAACACAGAATCACCAAAGATAAATAATAAGAGAACAACAATGAAAATTCACTTTAATCTAAAAAATGTGTTTCTTAAATCCAAAGGCAATCTTCTATCTCAGGGCATGATTATCTTTTTCATGGCTGAAAGAGGAAACTTGATAGTACTAGAAAAGCTTCTGAGCCATATTTACTCTTATTCAAAGATTGTTTATACTTTTTTTTTTTTTGTAGAAGCACCTTTATCAAATCACTCAACTACAGATACAGATTCTGATGACTCTTTAAGTGATTAAATCCCAAAAGTTAGACCCTTCTAACCATGAGTTTCATATTTGAAATAGAATCTAGGCTGTTGATATATGTAACAGATACACGTAACACCTCATTTCCAGAAGTTCCAGTAAAATGAAAGAGTAGTATTATAGAAATAGTTCCTCTAAACTGTTGGCTTAAGTTCATGCACAATTGCAAAAAAACCCCCCAATTTTGGAAGATGTTGCTTACTCCTAGCCAAGAGAATGTGAAGTTCATCCAGATATCCTTCGGTGCTAAAGTTACACAGGAGTTTGTCTCAAAAAAAAAAAAAAAAAAACAAAAACAAACCAAACCAACAACCAAACCAACAACAAAAAACCTGAAGAATACTATGGCTATTGAGAGGTTTCAAAACTATGTAAAAGATTTGGCAAAACAGTCTGCTCCCATGGGAGCT